GGGGTCGTCTTGAAGCCTCCTTCGGCCGTTTCGGACGCTGTGGAAGTCCCGGGAAGCGAACTTGCTAAAAATACATGTTTTCCAAAAAGGCGTTGGGGTGATTTTGGCCTCCTGGAGCCCCTGTGAGGCCTCTTGGAACCCTCTTGGGGCGTCTTAGGGGGCCTCTTGGCCCTTGGTGACGCCATGTTGGGGCGTCTTGGAGCGCTATCGCGGCAAATTGGGCGGTCTTGATCCGGTCCTGGCGACTGAACCGTCCAGGAGCCTTCGGGGCCCATCCCAGGAGCCCTCGGGGCCCCCATAGGCCGTCCAGGGCCCCCATATCAACCCCGGGTCCCAGTCCGCCCCCTCTCCTGGCCTACTCCGAAACATACACGCACTCACACACGCACACACACACATATGTATATATAAATATATACACACACATACTCACCGACATATTCCTCTTCCTATATTTTATAAGCCCAGGCGGGGGGAAAACAGGAAAACCACACACACACAAACAACAAAAAAAACGGACTCTCGGGACCTGGGGCTTTGTGACTCTCCGGACGGGCCTCGAAGCGGCCCCCCGGGCCTCGCAGGGCGTTTTGCCAAGCCTTCCCAGCACACCTAGGGCGATCAGGGGGGTCATCGGAGACGTCCCAGAGACCCCCATGACAGCACAAGAGCGCTCCAAGAGTGACCGACGTGACCTCAAGATGGCCCAAGAGGCGTCCAGAACGGCCCCAAAGAGGCCTCCAAGAGCACTCCCAAGAAGGCCCCAAGAGGCACAAATCATGGAAATTCTATTGGTTTTTGGTGAATTTGGGGGTTCTTCTCTTTTCGGCTTCCCGACGCTCCAAGATGGCGGTCTTCTGGGCGTCCGAAGCCGCCTGGGTGGCTCCAAAATCGCCCCACAACCATCCGAAAGGGCTTCCAGGCAGCCCAAGAGAGCCCCAAAACGGCACAACACGGGTCCAAGATGGCCCTCAGAGAGCCCCGTGGCGGCCCAATATGGCCCCAAGACACCCTCCGAAGCATTCCATATTGTGACCTGGTCGTTCAGGGAGACCGCAGTTGGAGGCAGGGTGGCCCGAGGAAGCCCCCAGAGGCCCTCAGAATACGCCCAGGAGGCCTCCAGAAGGCCTTAAGAAAGCCTGAAACAACTTTTGTGAGGCCCCCAGAGGCTCTCCAAGGAGGAGCCTCCGCAAAAGAGCTGAGAAGGATGGGGAGAATGCGCAGGGTATGGCGAAAATGAAAAAAAATATCCCGGCAAAGCAACCTAACAGCGATGTGTAGAAGCATATCTGAAAGCATTCCCCTTAAGATTCAGATGAAAATCCAGTTGTCGAATTCTGCTGTTCTCGCAGTCGTAGTCGCATTCGCGATGACAGTCGCAGCGGCAACGGCAGTCGCAGTCACAGCCTCAGCCTCAGCCTGCCTCCTCCTCCTCCTCCTCTTTCTCCTGCTCCTCCTCCTCCTCCTCCTCCTCTTCCTCCTGCTCGTCCTCGTTCTCGTCCTCCTCGTCTTGCTCGTCCTCCTCCTCCTGGTGCTCTCTCCTCCTCCTCCTCCTCCTCCTCCTCCTCCTCCTCCTCCTCCTGGTGGTCCTCGTTCTCCTCCTCCTGGTGCTCTCCCCCCCCCTCCTCCTCCTCGTCCTCCTCCTCCTCCTCCTCCTCGTCCTCCTCCTCCTCTTCCTCCTCCTCCTCCTCCTCCTCCTCCTGGTAGTCCTCCCTCCTCCTCCTCCTCCTCCTCCTCCTCCTCTTCCTGGTCGTCCTCGTTCTCGTCCTCCTCGTCTTGCTCGTCCTCCTCCTCCTGGTGTTCTCTCCTCCTCCTCCTCCTCCTCCTCCTCCTCCTCCTCCTCCTCCTCCTCCTCCTCCTGGTGGTCCTCGTTCTCCTCCTCCTGGTACTCTCCCCCCCCCTCCTCCTCCTCCTCCTCGTCCTCGTCCTCCTCCTCCTCCTCCTCCTCTCCTCCTCCTCCTCCTCCTCCTCCTCCTCCTCCTCCTCCTCCTCCTGGTACTCCTCCCCCTCCTCCTCCTCCTCCTCCTCCTCTTCCTGGTCGTCCTCCTCCTCCTGGTCGTCCTCCTCCTCCTGCTCGTCCTCCTCCTCCTCCTGCTCGTCCTTCTTCTCCTGCTCCTCCTGCTCCTCGTCCTGCTCCTGCTCGTCCTCGTCCTCCTGGTCTTGCTCGTCCTCCTCCTCGTCGTGCTCTTGCCCCTGCTGAAAATGTGGCCCAGGAATGGGAGTTCTGGGAAGTCGAAGAGCACGAAGTTGCCTACAGTTGGCTACGGGCATTCAAAATGTGGCCCGGGAATGGAGTTCTGGGAACTCGAAGAGCACGAAGTGGCCTACAGTTGGCTCCGGGCATTCAAAATGTGGCCCGGGAATGGAGTTCTGGGAACTCGAAGAGCACGAAGTGGCCTACAGTTGGCTCCGGGCATTCAAAATGTGGCCCGGGAATGGAGTTCTGGGAACTCGAAGAGCACGAAGTGTGTGACTGTTGCATCCGGCCCTCCAGAATGTGGCCCGGGAATGGAGTTCTGGGAACTCGAAGAGCACGAAGTGTGTGACTGTTGCATCCGGTTATTCTAAATGTGGCCCGGGAATGGCGTTCTGGGATCTCGAAGAGCACGAAGTGTGTGACTGTTGCATCCGGTTATTCAGAATGAGCCTGGGAATGGAGTTCTGGGAACTCGAAGAGCACGAAGTGTGTGACTGTTGGTGAAAAACGAGGTGGGCACAGCCCGCCCGGCAACTCCCAACACCTGCCCGGACCCCCCTGTGGGGTCATCTGCTGCTCTCTTTTGAGCCCACTAGAAACCTATCAGTCTTCGCTGTTAGGTAATATGAATGGAGGAAGGATAACGAATAACATTATTGTAGCGGCGATGCCAGAAAAGGCAACAAAAAGTAATCGCTCATTTGTCGACTTGGCCTTCCTGCTATTCCGCCTGCATACAGCTTCAAGGACCAAGGTGCATGGCGCGAAGCGCCACTGCAGTCAGCCTTGTATATATATATATATGTTTATATATGCGAGTGTATACATATACGACATACATACATACATACACACAAATATACACACATACATACATGCATGCATACATACATACATACATACATACATACACACACATACATACATACATACATACATACATACATACATACATACATGCATGCATGCATGCATGCATACATACATACATACATACATATATACATATATACATACATACATACATACATGCATGCATACATACACGCATGCGTACATACATACATACATACGTACGTGCGTACATACATACATACGTACATACATACATACATACATACAGACACACATATACATGTATGCATGCATGCATGCATACATACGTACACACATACATACATAGATATATACATACATACATGCATGTATGCATGTACACAAACCTAATTACCTACACACATACATGCATGCATGCATACATACATATGTATGTACATACATACATGCACACACGCATACACATATATGCATACATACATGCATACATACATGCATGCATACATGCACACATGCATACCTGCACACATGCATGCATGCACGCATACATACATATGTGCATACATACACACATACATACATGCATGCATGCATACATACATACATACATACATGCATGCATGTATACATACACACATACACACATACAGTCATACATACATACATACATGCATGCATGCATACATGCATGCATGCATACACACATGCACACACACATACATGCACATGTAGATACATACGTACATACAGACATGCCTACATACATACATATACACATACAGACATGCATGCATGCATGCATGCATGCATACAGGCATACAGACGTGCACACATACATACATATATACATACCTACATATATACACACATACCTACATACATACATACATACATACATACATACATGCATGCATACATACATGCATACATACATAAGTATATATATATATATATATACATACATACATACATACATACATACACACATACACACACATACATACATACATACATACATACATACATACATACATACATACATACATACATACATACATACATGGTACGCCCCATCGAGGGGGGTGGGGTCCTGGGGGGGGGGGGCGCAGGGGAGGTTAGGGGGGGGTCCCCGACGGGGGTCCCGGTAGGGGTCCCGGGGGGGTCGTCCCAGGGGGTGTGGGTCAAATACGCATCCCTCCCAGGGGTCCTTCACGCCCTCCAGACTGCCCAGGAGGGCGCCGAGACGTCCCACGGAGCCTCCAAGAGCACTCCCGAAAAGAGCCCCACGAGGCGAAATGTTTTGATGCCCATTTGGTTTTGTCAAGTTTTGGGCGTTCTCACCTGTTCTGCTTCCCGCCGCTCCAAGACGGCCGAAGAGGCCTCCAAGATCGCCCCAAGACGGATCACGAGGCCTCCAAGAGGGCCCTTACACAGCCAAAGAGGACCCCAAAATACCCCGGAATACCTCCAAGACGGCCCAAGAGGCCCTCAAGACGGCTCCAAGAGCGACCCGAACGGACATTTCAAACCCTCGGCCCCGAGAGGCTCCCAGGAGGCCCGAAGAGGTTCCCAAGAGACCCCAAGAGGCCCACAGGAGGTCCCCAGGAAGCCCGAAGAGGCCCCAAGAGGCTCCCAAGAGCCCCCAAGAGGCTCCCACGAGGCCCCAAGTGGCTCCCGAGAGACCCCAGAATTTCTCTACAGAGGCCTCCGAGAGCCTTCCGAAGAGACACCAAGAAGCATCTCTCTGGCCCACGTTAGCGTTGTCGTCGTCGCCGCCGCCGCCGTGGTCGTCGTCGTCCCTCTTCGGGGTCGGCGACACCGGCCGCAAGGCCTTCCCGATACATAGATTCTACGCACATACAAATGCAGCGCCACGGTCACGAAATGCAAGAGAGCGAAAACGAAAGAGAATGACAAGAGCAGCAGTCCAAGAATAATTAGATGATTCCCCAGGCCCGCTCAGCTCCTTGAAGAACAGATCCCACACTGGCAGGTTCGACAC